ACTGCCGCTACTGCTTCTCACAATTGTTTGATGGGATTTTAATATTGTATTATAGTTCAGCATAGGCTGGCAAATAATTTTGATTTTGTAGACCCCTGAGAAGGTCTTGAGGGACCCTCAGGGGCCTTAGGACCACACTTTAAGAAATACTGGCCTAGGGTAAAGGTCTCTTAACCCACTATGAAATTTAGCTATTTGATTATTCAGCTGCCTGGAGTATTTTGGCTTCCCTTGCTGCTGTGTCTGTTGTGGTTCTCTATCACTTTCCTGCTCTGCCTCTTCAGGTGTCCAAGTCCATCTCAGCCCCTGTCACTCCAAGCCCCGCTCCAAATCCCAGCCTCACCAAGCGGATGAAGAAGAGCAAGCAGCCCTTGCAGGTCACCAAGGATTTGGGCCGCTGGAAACCCACTGATGATCTGTTGCTGATCAATGCTGTGCTTCAGGTAATGGAATGGGCTTACTGTTAGGATACATGTTCCAGATATTTATTCATATTATCCCAGAAACGGTATTTAAATCCTTTAGATGCCATTCTTTCTTCAAGAAAACTAGAGTAGCTTACATGAGGCTCCTAAGCAGTTCTCTTCAAAACATGTCTTGAGACCATTCTCACCCTCTTCCTGGACCTCTTTAATGTGTGCCTCTACCAGTCAATATCACCAGTATTGAAGCTGGTGAGTCAGTGGCCTGACTTAGTCCAAGGCAGCTGCAGAAGTACGTTCATTCTCTAATACCATTCATTCCTCCTCAGCAGTTTTCTCTAATCAGTTTTTGACTGCTTAATTCTCCAGTGGATTCTGTTCCATTTAAGCTCAAAGTGCTTGAAACCAGTATAGTTGCTCCTTTCTTTTTTAAAAAAAAAAGCCTACTTGCCCCAAACCTGACTCTGTTTTGCCCATCCTAGAACTGAGAGTTCTTTCTCTTTCTCTTTGAAGACCAATGATCTGACTTCTGTCCACCTGGGAGTGAAGTTCAGCTGTCGCTTTAATCTGCGAGAAATCCAGGAGCGGTGGTATGCTCTCCTCTATGACCCTGTGATTTCCAAGTAAGTCCTGTCATTCACACAATCCTGATTGTCAGAAGTGGAAATAGGAGAATAGAGCTGTGGTGAAGGCTCCCACTCTCTTGTTTCTAAGATTAGGCAGGTGGCAGCTTGGGCCATCGCTAGCTGAGGGCTAGAAGCAGATCACAGTCTTAGGGGAGGTAAGCCTCCTGGTGTACTGGAAGAGAAGTGTGTGGTGTTCTGGTTTCCAGAGAGGCTTCCTGTGCAGAGATCCTTTATGTTCTTATTTGGAAGTAAATTATTTTGACTTAATGGATCCTACTTTCAAGCAGAATCTTGGAATAAAGGGTTGTGTGTGGCCATGGATGTGGCAAAGTATATATTAGGTCTCTCCCTGCCACCCTTGCTTTATGGAAGCAATTGTCTGGTGAGGATTTCTCCATTCCTTTCAGTGTAGCTGGGTACTGTTCCTTCTTTAGCTTCTCTTGGTAGGAAAGAGGCCCCTTTGAAACACTAATGGGCCTCTTTCCTTAGTAAGCCATTGAAACACTAATGATTACTAGGGGGGGGATAAGTGACTCATCAGGATTCCCATCCCTTCTCCCACTTTATGTGCAGTTTCACAGCTGTTGAAAAACAATGGTGACTACCAACTCTCATGACTGTCTGTAGGGAGAACAGATGACAAATGAATGTAACTGCATGTATGTCATCATTTTGGTGTCCTTGCAGCTTGCTGCAGATGCCACTGCCAGCCAGGCTCCTTTCTTCCATACCACAGGGATGTTATCTAGCTGCTTTGATCCAGTTCTTGCAATTTTTCCTCTTTCTTTGAGAAAGAAGCAAGCTCAGTCAGTTCAAACTGAGAAGAGAGTTAAGAGTCTCCAGCAGCAGGCCTGGTCTGCTCACACCAGTGCCCTTCCTGCCTGTGCTCCTGCTGGCTGCTTCCTCTGCAACCGTGGCATCTGCTGGTCCATGGCTGTGTCAGTCTGGTTCCCCACTAGACAGAGTGTCCAGGACAAGTCCAGCAGGCTGGCCAAGCTGGAGGAGGAGGAAAAGCTGGGGCGGAACTGGTTGTTACCATTGAAACTGGTTGTTGCCTAATTTAGATAATATCCCTGCATGCAATTCATCCATTTCTCCCACAGTTCTTAGGTGCAAGAGACAGCACACAAAGTAGCAAAAGCAGAAAAGTAGATTTTACTATAGCATTGATGGCCTGATAGAACCACAAGTAGAAGAAACATGAAAGTAGCACAGATTCCAGATTTCCAGAGGGTTAACACAAGGTAGTCCAGCTTAAATATTGATACAATTATGCTTGTTCTAGATAATTGTGTCTTCAAAGTAGAGATAAATATTGATTTCCAACCATTTTAAAAGCTAATTTGATATTTTACTTCCCAGTGACTATTTCGTTTACTTTTTCTTAGGTAAAGAAGGATTTGCTAGTCATGTAGCATTAAAGACTGGAATCCTTTCACTAGAGAAATAATAAACGTTCTCAAAAATGACTGAGGGAGAGATGGCTTTAAGTTGAAAGAACTAGTTTCCAGTTCATCAGTGCTGGAATTAATGTGAAATGTTTATTCTGGCATCTCCAACTTTTTCTGAGAAAGTCATCATGCATTTCTTTGGAGTAAATATCAGGGTGGCTTTCTAAAAGTTTAAAAATCCTGACTTATATCTCCTTTTTAAAAAGGTAGGATGCATATATTGACTATTCAGAGCTTAAATGCACAGGATCTGTTTTCATATTAATGAAGAGAGAGATACAGCTCAACCCTACATTCAGTTTACAGCCTTGTTTTTCTCTTTCCTTCTTTTCCCATTAGTTGAATGCTGCCAGAGACTCTTTGAGAAACAGACATTCCCACTGAGTCTTAAGCATTTTTTATTCCCTTCTTTCCATTCTCCACCAGGCTGTCTTGCCAAGCAATGAGGCAGCTGCATCCTGAAGCCATTGCATCTATGCAGAGCAAAGTGCTATTCAGCAAAGCAGAGGAACAGCTGCTAAGCAAAGTGGGATCGGTAAGGAGCAATACCTCTGGGTATCATACCCCCAGCCCTAGTAGCCCTGACATAAAGCGAACTTGGGTTTCTGAGAGCCCCTTTGGTATCCGTCCTTAAGGCCCTCACGAGTTCTGCATTTTCCCACAGCTCGTGGCAATTTCCTCTTCTCAGTGCCCAGTTGGCCTTTTTATGAGAGTTATTCTTTGTTTATGTAATGAATATATATAATATAATAGACAATGTTAGAGCCATTTTAGAGCTGGTGCCATTGCACATCTCACTCCTGTGGTCTTTCAGGGAATCTGAAGTTAGCAAAAGCATTGCATGCACAGCCGGGCTTGAGTTACCCTTAAGCCTGATTAAGATCCCTAGTAGTGGAAACGATAATAACAATAAACATCACCCTGTGTAATGATGACTCCTGCTTTCACCCTCTTCCTGCTCTTTGCCTAGACCAGTCAGCCTACTCTAGATACATTCCAGGATCTGCTGCACAAACACCCGGAGGTTTTCTACCCTTCCCGCACTGCTAAAGTCTTGCAGACACACTGGCAGCTCATGAAGCAGTACTACCTCCTGGATGACCAGACAGGTAAGGTCACTTGCTGGTTCCCTGGCTGATGTTGAGGCTGAGCCTGGGGTCTGAATTCTAAACTACTGTGTGCCCTCTCTGCAGTGCAGCCACTGCCCAAAGGAGACCAGGTGCTCAACTTCTCAGATGCTGAAGATATGATAGACGACAGCAAGCTGAAGTAAGTGAGAAACTGGTAGATAATCCACCTCTCCTCTCCTTGTAGCCATAGAGCATTGTGCCACCAGTGTTGCTGTGCTGGCTTGGTGGTGGGCCAACATTCCTTCAGTGTTTAGAGTGACAGCTTAAGGTCACTCCTGTTTCCTTCCACAGAGGAGTGATTGAATGTCCAGGAGTTGTATTACAATAGAGCTTAGACCTGATGACAGTTATTGACTGGCTTTTACAGCACCTTTCATTTCTCGTCATTCGGCAGCCAGCATCCTGGCTTTCCTAGGGAATTCCAGCTGGAAATGTATTTATTTATTTATTTGTCAAGTTTATATAGCTGCCCATCTCACACAAAGCGACTCTGGGTGGCATACAACAAACTGTTGGTCATTTCCTTTTTGCAGTTGTGAGTGTTACTATAGCTACTGCGTTGTGCCAGTGGCAGAAGTCTTAATCTGACCAAAAGTCTATATACGTGTGTTTAATAATGAAATTGCAGCAGAATGGAAACAAATGCCAAACTGACCCTGGAGTGATCTGCTTAACCTCCTGTCTCTGTCTCTCTTTCTCTACCCCTGCCCCTTTCCCCTTTTATTATAGGGATGTACGGGATGAGGTGTTGGAACATGGTGAGTTAGGTTTGGTTTGATAATGTGAAGCAAAGCACGGAACAAAAAGAAGCTTCCTTTTTAGATGGCCATATTTCCACATTATCGCCTCTGTGTGGTTCTGACTGTTTTTTGTTTTGTCAAAACATTGGCCTTCTTGGAGAGGGAAATACTGACTCAAAGGGTTAGAATCTGTGTTGGAAAGCTGTGGAAGAAAAGCAGGGCTGAACTTTATGTGCCTGAGGTGTAAGGAAAGATACAGGGCATTCTTCCTCCTTTTGGTAAGAACCTCTGATGTCAGAAGCCTGACAGCAGCGGAGTCTAAAGAAGGAAGAAGCCTTGTTGGAGAGAGGTGAGAGCTTAAAATGCTAGTTTTCCTCAGTTGATCTCTGCTGTACTCTTGATCCTTCCCTTGGTTTTCCTCCAAAAAGGGGGGGGGGGAGGAAAGAGCTGCACGGATTGAATGGTGGTGGGAATCTAAGGAAAACCTAAGACTTATGTACAGTGTTATTATAAAATAATACTGTGGCACTTCTCTGCATTCACTGTGGTTATTGCTTTTCTCCTTGCAGAACTGACTGTGGCAGACCGGAGGCAGAAGCGTGAAATTCGGCAGCTAGAGCAAGAGCTGCACAAATGGCAAGTGCTGGTGGATAGTATAACAGGTGAGAGAAGTCTGTTGCAGCCTCTTGTAATGCAAAGAACTACCTGAGAATCTTGGAAGTAGGAGAGGAAGGATGGAGGTGGGAGCCAGGCTTTGAAATCAGTGGTATAAATAACACCCAGGCATGCTTTGGCTACTGGTCAGCCCCTTCTTCCAAAACCTTGCCAGCCTACCTTCTCTTTTCTTTCTCCTAGGAATGAGCTCCCCTGATTTTGATAACCAGACATTGGCTGTGCTGCGTGGACGGATGGTGCGCTACCTCATGCGCTCCCGGGAGGTGAGTTCTGTTTTTCATTCAGCAGTGCCCAAAACTAAGGAGGTGAACTCCTTATTACCAAGTTGGATCAAGGAGAGGAAGTTGAATCCTTTTTCAGTGACCCAGATATGACATCAGGATCAAGCTGCAGGTATTTCTTAAAGTATGATTTGATTTTGAGATACATGGCATATCTGCATATTCTGAAAGGTTGAAGACTCTGGGCTGTTTCAGTAAGAACATTTTGATAGAAGAATAGTTTTTAATTTGAGAGGTACTGGTAATTTTTTATTATCTCTCCAGACAGCTGAAGACAAAACTGTACTGGCACTGGAGTTGAGAATCAACATTGGTTTCTGATTACCGTTACCTTTACTATTAAACCATTTGTATGTAATTTACTTTGTGCAAAAGGTAACATTCTGAGAACCCCAAGTTTTTAAAGTGTATTTCTCAATCCAGTGATGGCCTGTGCTTTTTTTTTCACTTAGCTTTGCTTGTCTCCATCCCATCATGTTTGCTCATTTTAGAAAAGTCAGTTAGCTTTTGCAAAATAAGAAACTGTGTACTGTGTCAGTTCACCTGATTCATTTGGATTGCTGAGGCCAGCAAAACACTGGTTCACTAGATATGCAGAGTGAATTCTTTGTCTAATTTCCTTTTCTAGATCACACTTGGCAGAGCCACCAAAGACAATCAGATTGATGTAGATCTGGCACTGGAGGGCCCTGCTTGGAAAATCTCCCGCAAACAAGGTACTGGAAGTGATTCTTGCCTCAGAATTACTGAGAAAAAAAAATTATTGGGCAAGATGTGTACAGCCATGGTAAGATAGAGTTAGCATCAGGAACCAGATCCCAGAGTCTTGTTTCTCTTTGTGGTTCCTGATACACTGGCTTCACAATGCAAGATGCTTGAGAAAGTGTTGCTAGGAGAAACAGCTACCTTTAAAAATTGAAAGGAAGACGAAAGTAGGATAGTATTTTCCATCCTGATGACCACATGCAATCTTTGAGGCATTTGTTGGAATTCTGTGAACCCCAGGCAACTCTCTAGTTTCTCTCATATTTACTATCCAAATGTGAAAGGTACATATTCAGTGGCCTTTTTTCAGGCTGCACAATTCAATAGCCTTCTGTAAGTGGGAGATTGGCGCTTTAACTTTTGAAGGTAACTGTTTCTCAAGGAAGGACAACATCTCCCTTAAAGGCAATGTCATGGTGGCTGTGGCCTAAATGCATGTGGCTTAGGCCACAATTACATTCCCTTGTAGCTCTTTTCTATTCTCTTCCTCTTGGGAAAGTCCAAGTCACCTTAATCTCTTCCTAAATGCACCCAGGTGTCATCAAGCTGAAGAACAATGGCGACTTCTTCTTGGCAAATGAAGGCCGACGGCCCATTTATGTTGACGGGCGACCGGTGCTTTGTGGCAGCAAGTGGAAACTCAGCAATAACTCAGTGGTTGAGGTGAGCAGGGGCTGGCTGTGCTTGGTAGAAGAAAGAGTTTGAGTTAGATATTGTCTTCTTGCCTGTAGGGTGTATCATTCCTGTTCTAGTTGTGTTTTCTTTTTGGCGTGTGAGAAGACTGGGCATTCAGAGCTTAGATGAAATTAAATAGCATTTCTTGCTAATTAATGCTGGATGGGTAATTTCTATTGCCATGGTATTTTTTTAACTTGGTTTTGTGGAATAGTATTTAGAACTTTATGCTGGGTTTTTTTCTGCTTTGCCTGTGTATTTTTAACGTCGAACTGCTTAGAATCGCTTGAAGTAGGCAGAATATATATGTTGCTGTAATCGTCATGGTAATATCCAGGGCAGCTGACCAGTAGGTCCATCCCATGGACGCTAACAGCCTCTCTGCATGGATTCGGTTGAGTCCAGAGGCTGTAAGTCTTCACCGGCTCGGCTCCCTTCGGAAGGGCTTGGGCCGCAGCCCCCAGACTAGGGAGGCTGCCTTAAATGAAGCAGCTCTTAGCGAGAGCCTGGTGCTAGCCAGGAAGGAGGAGATGTGAGTCGCTTTAGCCCAAGAGCCCTCTAGCTAGCTGCCATTGCAGACCTCTGCACTGGTAGGAAAGCTGCTCAAGGTGGGTCGTGCCTTAATGGGGTGAGAAAACGGAATATGCACAACTAAACCGATTTAGTTCTCCCCCCCCCCTCTCTCTTTTCAGATTGCCAGCTTGCGCTTTGTTTTCCTCATCAACCAAGACCTGATTGCTCTTATCAAGGCAGAAGCTGCCAAAATTGCCCAGCCCTGAGGCTTGGATCAAACCAAAGGACCCCATACCTCTTCCAGCAAGGACTGCTGTTTTCTTTGCTGCTAATGCCGTTTCCTCCAGTTTGCCTCCTTTGAGGTTAGGACACAAAGCTGTCATGGGCCTTTTCTTTCAGCATGGAGAAGCTCTGCTTCCTCTAGGAGCAGCTCCTCTGTGTGTGTGTGTGTGTGTGTGTGTGTGGGCACACGCTCACCCACTGGAGAGGGAGGTAGAGAGAGAGAGAGAGAGAGACTCAGGCTTAAACAGAGCCCTTTGGCTAACCGAAGCTCTTTACTGATTGTCCTGGGTTGTATGGGAAATGGCTTGCTGCTTCTATTGACTATTGTGCTTCACTCTCTTTGGGACAGAGTGACAACATTTTTGAGGAGGGGATGTGGGCAGAGCCAGTGTCAAGCTACTATAGTTATCAGTTCTCTCGTCTGCACTGTATTAGTACCATTTCTAGATGTCAGTTTTTCAGGTATTGTCCAATAGAATCTCAGTTCCCTGTGTATGAAAAAAAATTGAGTGATAAATTCCAAGGAAAGATGATTACAAAAATGGAGTTCATCTGTTCCTATCTGTTTGTTGTACAAGAATATTACTACTTTTCAGGGGGGTTGATAGACTAATGTTCTACTTTATCTATTGGTACCTGCCTCCCAAGTCCACGTACATCCTTGCCTGTAAGTAACGGAATGGTAGAATGAGCTTACAAGAGTGTTGTCATAATTTGGTTGTTTGGGGTTTTAAAAGTAATGGCAAAAATGGAGGTAAACCTAATTATTTAAGATGCAACCTTTGCATTGCCAGCTTTTAAATATCTAACTTTTGTCTCCATTAAAGTTTCTGATGCAACAGTGCAGTCTGTCGTAGTGGCCTCAGTTGAATTAGCAGTGAAGTTTATGGTAGATGGTTAGGCATGTCCTTTCCCAGTATAACCAATTTTACAACTGAAGTTTGTGGTTTTCATTTAACTTTTGGTAGTGGTTGTACATATTGTGATTTAGTGTGGGAAAGGTCACTCATGAGCCTTGTAAGCACAACACCTGAGCAATAGCAGTTCATAAATTAAGCACTCAGAGTTCAAAATGTACTTTTTATTTTATAAAAAGGGTACCCAGCCCCAGTATTTCATAGGGCTGAGAAAAATCTTCTTGGACCTGCCTTCCTATTTGAAAATTACATGCTCGGGGGGAATTTCCACTCCAAGTCCACCTGCTATCCCCACAGCAATGCCTAACAATCCAGCTGCCTGAAGGAAGAGTAGCTAAAATTGAATCATGTGCAAATATGGGTACGTTTGCATATTTCAAGCTGTGGTGCACTGATGTATTCCCTAACCCACATAACCACTCAGATGGGCCGGGTCTGGCTTTTGACAGTAGAGGCTCTTACAGCAGCTTCCAATTTCCTGTTTTTGCCCAGGCAAACGGTACCTTACTCTCCCATGATGTTTCATGGTGTTTGCTCTTTTTCTTCTGTCTCCATTATGAGAACAACTGCAGCTCTCCGAACCCTGGAAGAGCTGTTTCTAGCCTTTCTCTATTGTGTTCTGTTCCCTAACATGGAAGAACATCCAGTCCCATAAGACAAGGACTAGTCCTTGATATTCCCAGGCCAGAAAAATCCCAGTGCCTGATCTTTGTGTAATCAGTTGTGCTCGGCACACTCATATCCCTGTTCCTTCTTCCTCTAGCCAGCAGGGCCCACTGCATGTAGAACCATCATCCCCAGCACCAATCAGCACCATCTCAAGGCTTGAGGAATCACAGGCTTGAGTCCTGGAAGATTTGGTTTCTGGGGAGCTTGTATGGCATGCTGGATCTGTGGCGGAGCAAGCTTGGGGCAGAGAGCTCTCTCTTTGGCTCAGGTTTGGCATCAGTGTGTTGCTCCCCTGGTCCTTGGGACCATGACCAGTGGGTGAAAGCATTCCTGTCTCGGAATCCCTCACTCGGCGTCCCAGGGTCCAAAACGCACCAGGCCAGGGTGAGCTCTGCCCAGCTGGAGGGGCCCACATCCACTGAACTCTGCCACAGGCCCCATTAGGGCACGGTGCTGGTGGTGCACTATGGGAACAGAAAGCTGGTGAAAGTCCTGTGTCGACCCGGAGGGGACTCAGCAGAGGCGTAGTAGGAGCGTCCGCATGGGGGAAAGACCCACAGGTAGAAGGGTCGACTCGCTGCTGGGCTGGTGTCTGGGAGAGAAGGAAGAGCTGGACAGCCTGGCTCAGAGAGTGCAGACCTTCACGCATTTGCTGAACTTGCCCAGAGAGCTCAGCCACCTGGGAAATGATGCAAGGGAAATTAGGTGAGGTCATTT